TTATTTGATGCAACATTAGGTCACATATCTTCCTTTACTTATTATCATGTTTTCCTTAGTTTTCTGAATATATTTAAAATATTCTGAAATGCTAATCTATGAAAGGTGACATCTGGTCACTCTTGGTGGTGACCAGCTTTTTCCCCAGTGTGAGGGTTATACTTCCTTATTTCTTTGCATGCTTCAAAGTTTCCAGATGGAAATTGAATAGTTGCAATAATAAATTGTTGGAGTTTGTACAATTCCTCTATGAACAGTGTTAAGTTTCTGGCTTTGCTCCCCCCAAATCCCTCCACCACCCCAGTATGCCAGTGATAGCTGTAGGATTCTCTTTCTCTGAAATACATATACTTTATAGCTCTAAACCTATTAAAGAAAATGTGACATGGGTGTGGTGGTGCATGCCTGCAATCCCAGCACATTGAGAGGCTGATTCAGGAGGACTGAAAGATTGAGGCCAGTATGAGTAATTTGGTGACTAAGATCCTTACTCAAAAATAAAAAATAAGCTGGGAATATAACTCAGTGTGAAGGCCTTAGGTTCCATTACCAGTACAAAGAAGAAGAGGACAAGAAGGAAGAGAAAAAAAGGAAAGGAAAATTTAAAAAATGAGAAGGGAAAGAAAAAGAAAGAAAATGAAGAGAAGGGAAAGGGAAGGAAAAGAAGAAAAAATGAAATTTGGATTTACAAACCTTCCTATAAAGAAAAATACAGGTCCTCATAGCTTCACTTGTAAGTGAGCTAATTATATGAGAAAAATAATACATTTTGACTAAATTTAGTTTATCCTAGGAACTCAATATTGGTGTAACATTTAAAAATCAATTAATGTGTCAGGCATGGTGGTGCTCACCTATAATCCCAGCATTTGGGAAGCTGAGGCAGAACTGCTACAAGTTCAAGGTCAGCCTGAACTATAAAGTGAGCCTCTGTCTCAAAAAAAAATCAATAGATCTATTTCATCATAGTAATAGACTAAAATAATATATATAATTTAGTGGATTCAAAAAATGACCAAATTCAACACCCACTTATGAACAAAGCTCTCTAAAACTAGGAAAAGAAGGAAAATTCCTAATCTGAAAAAGTGTACAAAACACCACTGGTAACTTAATACTTTTTAAAAATTGCATGTTTTATTACTATTTGTTTACATTTTATTGAATACAATTGACATATTGATAATATTTAAAAGTATGTTTTGAGACACATATACATTATGAAATGATTACTGTAATCAAATAACATCCACAACTTCACATACTTAGAACAATTCATTTTTTCTCTATCTAGAAACATTTTATAATAGTACAAGTCACACAATATTCTTAAACAAAAAGAAAAATGCACTTAGTATCTTAACTCACCAAAGCTAATATTATGCTTAATAGTGAGAAAGTAAATGTTTTCCCCTTAGATTGAGGTTAAGACAAGGTTGTTTGATCCTACCACTTATATTCAACATTTTATCAGAAGCCTTAATGCTAATGATTTGTCTTATAAAAGCCTAAAATTGCAAACACAAACAACTCCTAGATATGAGTTTAGTAAATTGCAAGATCTAAGATTAATATGAAAAATTGGTATTATATATTAAAAACCCTTGTCTAAGAACCATTAAGAACAGCATCAATAAAGAAATTAAAAATATAAATAAATAAATAGCATGGATGGAAGACCTGTGCACTGAAAATTGTAAATATTGCTTAAATTTTTAAAGACCTATATTTCTAAGGCCTCATGGACTTGACGAGACACTATAAAGGTTAATTCTTCCCCAGACTAAAATAAATACCACAATGCCAAACAAAATCCCATCATTTTTTGAGGTGAGAAAAATGATAAATTATTCTATAATTTATACACAAATTCAAAAACTTAGACAAGCTGGGGATATAGCTCAGCGGTGTAAGCGAGTGCCTGGCAAGTGCAAGATTGTGAGTTTGATCCCCGGTACAAAAAAACCCAAAAACAACAACAAAGAAACCATAGACACACCAAAATCCATTTGAAAAAGCCAAAGTTGTAGCCAATGCAAATTCAAACTGTAATGTACTCTCTATGTAGCTATATTATAAAGTGTTATCAAATATGTAAAAGAACTAGAATCCCTATATACTGCTTGTGGAAGTTTAACTTGTGTTACAGTTTATATGTTGTGTCAAGTTGAGAAGTCTAAAAGCTTAACTAAGTGGTTGAGCATTTGAAAAGGTGAGCAGGGGGCTAGGGTCCCTAGTTTGGAACATCTTGTATACATAAAATAGACAAGAGAGGAGGGACTGATTGCTGCTTCTTGTGAGGAGTTCCAGTCATTTTCAGCTGGACGTCGTCATCTCCTGGCTTCTGGCAGACTGGCTCTGCCTGGGACTCTTCAACCTTTGTTGTAGACTCTCCAGCCCTCCATCATAGACCCATCAACCTTCTGATACAGATTTGCACAGGACACTGCAGCAAGCTCTAGCCCTTGGGCCAGACTCTTCGGCCTCTAGCATGCAGACACCCTCCGCACGCTCCCTCATTCTACTGTGTGGCTGACCACTGTAAGCCAATCTTGTAATTTCTTATACAATTGTATATCATGTGTTGTTATACCTGTTTCCTCTAGTAAACCCTGACTGAAACTTGATAAATCTAACTTTCAAAAAGTTTTTCCTTATCTACTAAACTTGAACATATGCCTTCCTTATTGCCTATATAATGCTGCAAAATAAACTGCCCCATGTTCAGTGGCTTATAACAGCACTAATTCTCAGGCTCATCAATCTTCAGGAAATCTAGAGTTCTGTTAATCTAACATGAGTTGGGCTGTAAGTTGGCATCACATCAGCTCCACAAAGATTTGCTCTGGAGATCAAGGCTGAAAGGGAAACTGTTACATGAGACATGTTCTCCTCATGTGAATTACTTCAGAACAAGCCAAATCAAACTACACAAATACACTAAGACTCTTGTATAATGTCTGATATTCTTTCAACCAAAATAATTTACTTAAACAGGCCCAATATCAGCAAAGAAGGCCAATAGTGTAGGGGTTACAAATACTACAGAAACAAAAATCCAAATTATCATGTTCAGCATTCTACTACTCCACTTATACACCCAACAAAAGAACTGCACATGGGCATGAGGAGACATGAGCAAGAAAGTTCAGTAGCAGCATTCATAATAACAAAGAACTGGAAACAATCCAAATGTTCATCAGAGGCAAAACAAACTATACCACAACTACATATACAGCAATAACAGTGAAATAACAGGAACACCCAAAAACACGAGATTCATAATAGAGAACTATTTAGAGTTCAACTCATAAGCAAGTAAATGATAAAGTTCTAGGATGCATATTTAGGTGTCAAGCCTGTTTTTGAATGTAAGAGATTACCACTATGTACGAATTAGTGATTAGGTTTGGTGTAGGAAAGGGTGGTATCTTTGTCTATTTTCTGCTGCTATAAAAGAATACCACAGACTGGGAAACTAAAAAACAATTAAAAAGTTTATTTGGTTTATGGTTATGGAGTCTACGAAAATCCAACATCCAGTGGTTGCATCTGGTGAGGATCTTTATGCTGCCTTACAATTTAATAGAGGGGCAGGCAAGCAAGCATCCACAAAGAGTGTGAAAATCAAGCCAAACTGCATCCTTTTATTAGGAATTCTCCTGTCATAAGTAATCTATTCCATGCAATAATGACATTAACCCCTTTATGAGACAAGAGCCCTAATGATCTAACCAAGTTTTAAAGATCCCACCTCTTAATACTATTGCAATGGCAACTAAATTTCAACATGGTCTGGAAGTAGTGGTTGGTGGTTTTATGAATATTTGCTGTAAATCATGAAACTTTACAAACTGGTTACATACACATGTCATACAGCTCTATTTCATTTTCTACTATTACAGCAAAATTCATGTCTTAACCAGATTTCAGATTTCAGTTTCACTTTTTCTCTGGGCTTTCACACTTGGTTCGCCTTCCGCTTGTAAAGTTCTTCCTCCAGTTTTCAAAACTTCATTAGTTTTGTGTGTGCTGTTGTCCAAGCTGGCCTCAAACTTGTTGAGATCCTCCATTAGCCTCCCAAGCACTGGGATTACAAGCATGCGCCCCAGATTCTGGTTTGTTCAGTCTTTGGGTTCTGACCTTTAATGTCCACTTTTCATTGAGATCTTGTAGTTCTGCCCCTTCTGCACTGCCTCAAGCCCCAACCCCCATCTACTTACTTCCAGTTTAACAGCATATATTACCCGAACATCTATTTTATTGTGATGGTGTTTGTTACGCACCTCTAGGATAAATTCTATTATAGGAAAGGTTCTTGTCAAACTTGTTCAGAACTGTGCTATCAGTCTAGTACCGCACCTGGGCACAGAGACAAACCCCACTTCTGTGTCTTAAACCTTTTTAACATTCCCAATGCGATGCATGATCTCTGTAGTAGCTGTCCTTAGTTATCTCACTGATGTTTATCCCATTTAAGTACAGACTTGGAATGTTATTTATGGTCACCTTCGTGCTCTCCACATAAAGCTGTTTTAGCAGATACTAACAGAACTAGCTTTTAATAAATGAAAGAGGTCAACACGTAATTTATCAACTAGTAATCTCTTAATGTTAATATTTTTCTTTGAAATTCTGTATTACTTCTATCTTTTTGCTTTGTCTTTTTTCTTTAAATAAAAATAAATAAATAAGTAATGCAAGAGCGAAATTTCGGAAACGTTGCTTTTGAGCCAGACCAAACTCAGAAGATGTCCTGGCACCTAAGGAGAAGGAACTCACAGCAGGAAAAACGAAAGACACACCAACTCCGCAACATTACGACACGCCACAATCACCCGCCTCTTCCTGTAAGCATCTTCCACTTCCGGCCGAGTGTCAGTCCCGCGAGAAGTCTCAGGTGCAGGGCTCCTCAGCGCACTACGAGTGGGCTGTGACCTCGCGCCTGCGCTGTGAGAAAAAGTGAGCGCCGCGTGGATGTCAATGGAGGCTCGCGCCTGCGCAATGGGTTCTCTCTCGTGATTGGTGTCTCCTGGGGGACCCCGCCGTTCAGTTTTCACTTTCTTTCTTTTCTGCCCTTCCCCCTCACGCACTTTTTTTCCCTACTTTGGCCGCGAGGTTTTACTTCCGGTTGCCAGCGGTAGGCGGCAAAAAAGTAGACACGTTCGTTCTGGCAGCTGTGCGTCTCTGGCTCTTTGTCGCCTGGGTCTCTAAGGTGAGATGGGATGCAGGGCCGGGCGCGAGGCGTGCAGCGCGGCGTTCGCTAGGGAGGGGGTGTCGCGGGGAGGGGCTGCCGCCGGGGAGGCCCCGACGGCGCCTGTCTTAGGCACTTAATTGCCACCTGGCCGCCTAGTCGGGGAATGAAAAGCCCGCAGCCTGGAAGAGCAAGGGAAGCAACTGCGCGGCAATCTGCAGTCCGTAGTGACAGGTAAACTCCCCTCCAGTGCCGGGGCGTCCTGGACGCGTACACTGCGAGGGAGCAAGCCGGTGCCCAGGCTGAGCGCACCTCGGAGCTGCTCTGCTTGTAGGGGCGCCCGGGGCTTCGCAGCCGCGTCGGGGTGCAGGCGTACGTGCTTCCCAGCTGTTCGCCGCTCTCCCAAGGTGGTGGGAGGGGAGGCGTGGCTCCCTGTCCTTTCTGTTTGGTGGTTCCTTAGAGGGTTCTACGTTCTACAGTCTAAGTTTCGCCAGTATCGAAGTTTTAACCGTAGTGCAGATCTGTACAGGGCTTCGAAATTCGTCTTTCCTCATTTTGAGGCAGAAAACACGTAACAGTTTAAATTTTTCTTTGCTTCTCCTGCCGGAGTGCAGCTTCATCCTCTTCAGGGATATGTTTCCTTGTTGGAACTGGACTCGTTAGAAAATCAGTTCCTAAGCGTTCTTAAGCCCGGTACACACATTTCTTTTTGCAGAGAACAGGTCATTGTGCGACCTTTTGAAAAGTAAAGTAAGTCTACTCATAGGGAAGGTCACTTGGCAGCAAACTGAGTAATGTATGACAAACATTTCAGTAAGTTAGTTGGTCCGGGCAACCCAGCAATTTGTACAAAGACAGCACCAACCAGTACTTTTGGTAAAAAATGGCTAATGAACCTCAAAACATGAAGGTAATTTGAAATTTTCGCATTTCTGTTAATCTTAACTTGTCAGTTCGAAATCCATAAATTTGAATAAAACATTATTTTTCTGTTTCTCTTAATCAGGTAAAATTAGAATAAAGTTAATGAAAATGTTTGCTCAATTTAAGTGTTGTACAAGTACATTGTCTTGCTGTATAATAATATGAGTGATCTGGGGACCTGCAGTATTCTCTTGAGAAAGCATTAAAAGGGAAAGCGGGGATTGTTCAATAGTTGTTATTTGTGAATCTGATGCTGGTGGTAATCCTACCTAGATGGTTTATAACAAAGCAAATGTTCCTTCATAAGAATACTCGTCTGTCGGAAAACTGCCTTGTAGCATTCAGTTCCACAACATCAATAATTACCATAAGGCAGGAAAAAAATGTGATTAAGTTGTCCAATTATTGTAATTATCAAGGAAGTACAGGTTTTTAAATATGTGTTCATTGCATTTGCCTAAATATAATTAATTCTCTTTAGAAAGAGATCCATCATATCTCCTCTGGCCCAAACAAATGAATTAAAATCTGAAAAGTGCCTAAAAACTTGCCTACTATTTGTTAACTATTGCATATATTTTTCTTTTCTCTTTTGGTGGATGTTTATTTTCAAGGTTTCTTAGAGAAGCCCGTTTTTTTGTTTGTTTGTTTTTTGTTTTTCATGGATTGAACTCACGACCTCGTGCTTGCTGGGCAGGTACTTACGTTGCTAAGCTATATCCTCAACCCTTATTTTCAAGATTTCTTATAACAATGCTGCAGCGAATTTTTTTCTATCATAAACATGCTTTCGGTGCCCATGACAGTATTTCTGTAGAAGTGAGTCTTTAGGAAAATGCTGGATAATGTGCTAAATACCCTCAGATGATTGTGATTTTCAACTTCTATTTGCTAACACTGTATTTTGTAAATATTTTACCCGTAATGTATATTTTGGTACTTTCTTTTGAAAAATGCTTTGGTTCGTTTGCATTTTTCTCCTGGATGAAATTTAGAACTGTGTTTTCAAGTTACATAGAAAATCTTGTTGAAATTTTATGATTGCATTGAGTTTATAGATTAATTTGATAAGATGAGACATTCTTTTGAGTTTTGAAGAATAGATATTTCTTTCTGTACCTTTAAATTTTTTGTGAAATAAGGTAATAGGTTGAAATAGGTATATGCATTCTTTTTTTGTACTCTATTAAAAAAGCATATCTCTAAGGAAAATATTCTTTACCCCATCACCATGGGGTATTATTAATTTTATGTTATTATTGTTATTCTCTTACCTTCTTTGTACAATTTTATCACTGATACACATTAATCAGTGTGTTGTTTATTTTCACCTGTTTTGGCACTTCAACTAGAATCATCCTGTGTATGCTGTGAATTATTTTTGTTAAACGTTGTTTCTGAGAGTCACCTATGTTGAAGCACATGCCTATGGTTCAGCAGTTTAGAAACTTTTTGGTCTCAAGATTTCTTTACATTTTTGAAAATTATTGAGGACCTGAAGATCTTGCATTTATGTGGATTATTCTACTGATAAATATCATATTACATGGTAGAACTTACCAATTTTAAGTATACTGTATATACTTACATTTATTGGCACATTTTAAAAAGCCATTATGTAATTATCCACTCCAAAATATTAGTGACAAAAATGACTTTGTTTTACAGTTTTATAAGGACCTTTAATGTCTCTTTTAATCACTAAAGTTCTACTTTGGGGTTCAATCTGTTGCAGTATGTTGTTTTGGCTGAAGATAGGGGCAAAAATGTGGCCACACTTAACTAAGTAGTTGGAAAAAGTATTTTCAATAACCTTTATTGGTAGTTATGTTGCTATTTCTCACTTTTTATACTAACAGTTTCTTAAACATTAGCTGCAAAGTAGGATTTGAAACCATAAATTAACTTCTCATATTCTGTTACATTACGATCCAAGGTCTGTCTTGCCCTTCAAATTGTTCTTTTGCTCTTTATTGATCTTTTGTAAAATATTGGTTCATTGAATTATGTAGATTTTCTAAATCATGACACATTCCATTACATAACATTAAAAAAATCACATATATTAGCATTTTCTTTGTGAACCTTTGCTGTATAGTTTGTTCATTTGCATTGAAGTATAATCTACTGTAAAAATTACATTCTCTATTTAGGTTGATTATTTCCATTATTAGGTTGTTATAAATAATGGTGCTGTAAACATTTTTGTACATAGCTCCAAGTGCATATAATCAGTACTTTCACTGGCATATTGGTAGTGGAATTACTGGGTCCACTGAAAGGGTAATAAATGCTGACATTTCCAAAATGGTAGTTCTTATTAACTTTCAGCAACAGTGAGTAAAACCTCTCTGTTTTCCCTATATGTAATATTGTCCAACTTTTAAAATTTTGCTAGCATGTTGATAGTAAAATAATATGCTATTGTGATAATAAACTGCATTTCTCTGCCTAAGACAAATTGAGTATCATTTTATGTTTTTGGCAAGTTCACTCTTTCCTTTTGTATTTCATTATATATTTTATACTTTTTCTTTTGGATGCTTTTTCCCCTAATTTGTAGAAATTTTTAAACTCATTATATACAAGTTGATAAATTTTAAGTTTCTTCCCTGTACCTATCCAATTCATTCCCCACCTTTCTTGTTTCTCTTTAGTACTTTGTTTTCCTTTTAGTGCTTTGAGTATATATGTATTTTTATATTCTTCCTTACCCTATTTTTTACTATACCATATTTGTTCTCTACATATCTGTATGCCCCAGAAATTCACAAATAAGTATATAGGGCACACAGTTTTTCCTGTGTGAGTGTACCAGTTTTTTAACTATAGTAAAAGGATTATTGGATTTTTTTTTTTTTAGTCTGTTGCTCTGTGAACTTGACTAGTCTTTGTTTTTTCTTCATTACTGATTTATTTAAATGTTTTTTCCATTTAGACCAAAATAGGTAAAAGATATTTTTATAATTTTCAAATGTATTGGTGTAAATTGTCTCAGATACTTTATTACTTAGAAATATTTTCTCTGTATTTGTGTTTATATCCTCTTGTTTCCACTATTATGTTTTCCATTTTTCTAGGTTTTACTTCCTAAAAGATAACTTACTTCTTATTAGTCTTTTTTAAAAAATCCTTTGTTTTTATTGGTTAACTTGATTGCATTTATTTTTAAATTGTGTTCTTTTTTTAATTTTGCTTTTATCATAAGAGATGTGTTTGGGATGTACTTTTCTGGTTTCTTTTAATAAGAGTTAATAATATTTAATTAGAAAACTAAATCCCTTGCTGATTGTGTATTTTCTATTGGCACTGTGAAATAGAACCAGTTTAGAACCTTTGCTGTACACCTGCTCCCTCATTAGGAGAAGGAGCATTTAAGACCCGAACTCCTGACTGCAGCCCTTCCAGGGGGAGAACTAGCAGTGTCTCCTGAGATCCACGCCATGTTGGAACTTAGGACTCTGGGAAGCCAAGCCAGCACCTCCCCTCCCTGGTAAGCGGAGGCAGGGTAGCAGACTGCAGCCCTTCCAGGGGGAGACAGCAGTGTCTCCTGAGATCCACACCATGTTGGAACTGAGGACACTGTGAAAACAAATGACCATTCTGCCTCCCTGCTTAGCAATAGTGAACCTACTGCTACATGGCCTAGAGTCAATTATCACACTTCCCATATCCTCCTCCTCCTCCTCCCTGCCCATTAGCAAGTGGGAACCAGAAATCTGAGCATCTCCTGGGAGGCTGACCATAGCAAATAAGGGGGGTTTCCTTCTACCATTTCTTTGAAGGCAAATATTTTTATTACTGTTTTGCTCTTTTCTGATTAATGGTACTGCTCTATTCAATATTCTGTTTTGATAAGTTCTATAGTGTTCTATATTTCATCTCATTTTGATATACGGGATTGAAAGAACAACTATTACAAAGATAACAAAATATACTGTAATACCTATTACTGTTATCCCGGTAACCTGCTGTGAAGTTCTGTACCAATTTCACTGTATGATCTTAGTTGGCTTTATTCTGACTTGTTCTGTTGTATACTTTCAAAATAAAAATTAAAAAAAAAAAAAGATCTGAACTCCTGAAGCCTAGGTTGT